ATAGTCCATTACATAAGCTTTGTTTTGATCCATTAATTACGCGTTTATTTTGAAAATTGACCGAGTTACACATGTATGAATTATTTGTAAAATTTGTGCCATTTTTTTTGAACACCACTGTAAATACTCACACAAAGTCATAAAGATCCACCAGTTCACATGAACTAATCATTATTTATATTTATATTGTTTGTTTCCAATAATAATAATTACTCTAAAAGGCTGATTCTTTATCTGTGATGCTTTGTTCTGGGACTCCATAGATCATTCTAATTTCTCCTCACTCAACACAAACTTTGGTGAGCCAAGATTAATAATGTTACAGCCCAGTGGGTCATCTGATGACAGTTCAACTATGTCAATGTTGCACAATCTGTTGTACAGGCATAGGTGAGTGTGCAATGTCTTTTTGATTATATAATATATGTTTCACACTGCTTATGTAACTTTTTGCTTGCAAGTCCACAGCATCTTCTGCATTGGTCATTTGAGTAGGCTGAGCAATTGGCCATTTGGTAAATAGTAAAGTAATATTAATATATACTGTCCTTTTAAAACGTTCCCTCCACTCATTTCTACCACATTTAGGTATGGGAATAGTAGGCTCAGAGAGCCCATTGCCATGCAATAGATCTGGGGAATGTGAAACTAGAGCGACTTTATCTTTGTTCATTGTAATGGTCCTACATGGTCAATTCTGATAATCTGGAAAGGTCAGGGGATAGATACCCTGTGCTTTGGCCAGCTTCTTCTCTCTCTGGCACTGATTGCACATTGAAACAGACTCCTGAACTTCTTTATATTTATTGTTGTTGCTCTTGCTCCTAAGTATAAGTGTCCTGCTTCATGGATGGTTCTGCCCACTGTATACTGCTGTTCTCTCCCTTCCCTTTGATGCAAGGCTAGAGTTCTACTATCCCTGGAACTGTGTCCCTGTACCAACATTTAATAATTTGCATCCTCTGCCCTCTGCCTAGGTTGGAACTGATTAGGCTGATAATGTCACTGTTGTTGTTGAGCCTGATTATTACAAGCAATTCTTACAGTGTTGGTTAGATGTTGATTATTGGTTGTGATATTAGATAATGTGCCTATTGCGAAATTAAAATGGGCTAAATATAAATTGTGCTATGGGCCAGAACATATTTTAACATTATAATTAGTTAACTGACCTGATGTATGACCTCCATTTTCTTGAATGAGTCATGAGGGATCTATATTAATATGTGAACTTGCATTGTCCACAAGCAATAGGGTGTTTATTTTTTTGATTTGACAAAAGTGATCAAATTTCTGGACCCATTCAAGAAATAGATCAGTTCTCATCCACGATTTCGAATTAGTATTAGTGCGATAGGTTACTGGAAGTGATGATAGGTTGACATTTTTGAAACAGCAAGGATTTTGGTACCTTCCCACAACAAGAGGTTGAAGCTTATGAGTTCCAGTAGCATTGCAACATAATAGAACTGATAAACTAAAAAGAGAGAATTGATGCATGTATCAAATCACAGAATAAATTTAACAATTCGGCTTAAATTTATCTTTTTTCGACCTGTCATGCTACTGGTACTCGCGTCTGGTTAGGTTCCATACGGTAGAATAAACCCGTCTCATCTAAATATATTCAAAATCATATTCAGCTAAGACCTCTTGCAACCTCAATTTCTCCTCTGTTATGCCTGTAAGTGACGCACTGTTTGCCTCTCCATGAAGTGTAATTCGGTGAACACCAATCCGTTTTTTAAATTTATACCCATCCGTTCGAGCATTGAATATCGGGTCGAGTTTGCTGAATTTTGATAAAAGTTCTCTTTTTATTTTAGCTTTATCGAAAAGGTTCGCAAAGGCCTTCTCTTCACCCTTTAACATGAGTACATCGTGAACGTAGCCGAGGAGATCCGGTCGAGTTGTTTTTTTTTTTGTTGCAAATGAAGTTTTTATATCCATGCTGTATTTCCTTAGTATTAGTATTAGGAAATATGGATGTAAATGGTTAATAATAGTGTGAAAGTACAATGAAATGCCTACAAATAATGAAGACATACTTTCCTGTTGCGTTTCGAGAAAAAACCATTTGAAAACCAACGTAGGAACAGAGAAATTCAAGAAGATTTCGGATTATAGTATCCAAAGACCAAATCATATCCTGTTCTGTGTAGGCGTCCAGAAGTTTTTTCCAATGTTTTCTGAGAGTGCGGCACTAAACTTTGTAGCTAGCATGCTATCACAGTCAGTCTCATTATAATACAGGAGATCGCGACTGGTAACATTCTAACGATTAAGGGGAAAAAAAACATCGTTGTTGGTGAAGCTCAAAGGTAGAGTTTTTGAATCACATACATCCATAATATCGATTGGCCTGGCCACTGGCAGCTTCTGAAGGGGTGGCGTATTGATAAGCACAAGCAGCTCATTAGCTCGAGTCGGAACTTTATCGAAAGGTTTTATAAGCGATTCGCACAGAAGGGGAGTTCGGTAAAACGATGAATTATCAGTATTGTCATGCAAAAGAAGCCCTCACCCAATAAAGTGGTGCAGAATGTATTACCATCTTCAATACGGGATTTCTTAGTGCGATGTTCAATCCCTTAAAAACGAAGCAAATGGATGCAGTACATTATAGCAACCATGAGAAAGTGTTGGCATCTCACAAGAAACAGCAACAACAGTATTCGAACTATTCTCTCTCCGCTGCTCTATTAATATATACCATATCTGTCTATCCCGTACACACTCTCTACGTCGCCAACGCCCGAGTCACAAAGTCGTTACCTGGCTGAGCCTGCGCGCTCTTCAACGCCTCGTATATTCGGTCACTTCCATTTCTGCTTATCCGCCTCCAGTTTCTCTTCTTTCCTCTCCAAGTTCGCCAGCTCGCCATTCCACCTGGGCTGTGCCGTTCCAGTCCTCAGGTCATCCAGTCTCTTTAACGTTGCCTTCACCTCTTCATACTCCTGCTCCGCCTTCTTCAACGCTTTCTCGGCTTTCTCGTAAGTAGCCATGGTTGTTCGTGTTTTGTTTTCGATACGCGATGCGATCAGCTTTTCATATATGCAAAATGTGACCAATGATAATTGATGCGCAGAAATTCACTCGAATATCGCGACTCAAAAATGGTTTGCTATAAAAAACGACCGAAATTGAACTATTTTACGAAAAAGCTTCGCGAACTGCTTTTACAAACCAACAGACTTCATCATTTTAAAATGGTTGCTCTCACAAGCGAATTTATTTTCGGATTATTGATCGGAATTATCCTTGAATATTTCTTTATTACTGTATAAAATTCACAATAATCAACTTCGTATTATAAATCAGAAAATCGACAAAGTAATCAAATTAGTGGAGTCCAAGAACAAATATAAGATAAGCGGGCAAATTGGCCAACATGAGTATCCACCAGAAACTGAAAACTTGTGGAAGAAGTTTAAAATTTTATTTGACAAAAGGCTCGAGTTGAACTCGAATTTTTCATTAACAAAATGGCTATTGAAATCGACGGATTACTCGATAAAGGAAACGGTCTGGCTGCCTCTACGATAAGAAATTTTTATCTTCGAAGAACAGAAAGAATCTATTATGGCAATTCGAGCTTGAATTGATAAAGAAAAGAAGAAAAATGTAAATGAAGACAAAAAGATTAACATCGATACTTATGTGAAAAGTTGAAATATTTTGACGTTTTTAATTGCAATTGTGTCAAAGCTCAGCGGATACGCTTAAGCAGTCTTTTATCATGACTATAAAGAACGATCTTTGTTTATAGGTTGTTCGATCTTTTACGTTAAACTACTTTCCTTTACCTTTCTTCAAGTTTTCGTTTCTTTCTTGGTTCATTATTGTTGGTGTTAATGCTCGTTTAGTAATTATGATTTTCCGTTCCTCTGGGTAAATTTCATAAGTAATTTTTTCTTGATCTAGATACTGCTGTAGTGTTTGAGTATCCTTGATTTTAAAAACATAAGGCGCGATTTTTTCTCTTGTGCTTTCTTTAATATGCTTCTAATAGTGCTGTAATTCAGCCTATGCGCATGACCAATATTCTTGTGAGCATGCTTACAGTCATGCGATTTGTCTACCAGATTTTTAGTCTCGGTTTTACTAACCACAACATAAGGGAGTCCGATTCTAGAAAAGATTCTTTTGTATGCATCCACAACTTCCTTGTATGTGTTCACTGAGGCTTCTTCAGTCTTGTCAAAAGTGTACAGATCCTTCATCATGAACTCACGACCTCTTAATAAACCCGATCTCGGTCGCATCTCATCTCTGTATTTCCTGTCTGATAGTCGAAAATAGGCATTACTGACAACAGCAAGTATTAAAATACTGACCTTGTCCATACGCATGATTATATTCACCAATCTGATATAGCCTGAGGGGAAGCTGCCTATAGGAAGAAATTTCTTCGGCTACCAAAAGCGTAATTTCTTCTTCATGGGTAGGAGCAAGACAAAACTCGGATTGCTTGCGATCTTTGAGACGGAAAAGCTACGTGTTTGTTTTAACGATTTGTTATGAGAGCGAGTATTTAATAAAAAGTTTTTCCTCGACTTGTAATTATCACCTCACTGCCAGCGGTTTCCCATCGTCCAGTTTGTCGCCATGAATTGGCACTCAATAATGTAGGAAGCGATAGTTTTTGAGCTCCTTGGTGATCAAACGGGGAAACCTAATGATCAGAATGAACATATATCCACGCGGATTTAATTGTAGATGCACTATATATACCTATATTCTCCATTTCTTCGTCTATAATTTTTTCGACTTTTCTAAGCGAACGCAGGCCGAACGGGAGAAACGAAAAAATGCCCGATGACGACTAACGAAATAGAATCAAATTTTAAATCAAAAGAATTATATGCATATATAAATCACATATAAGCTGAATTCCTGACTTGTCTTATTAAACCAGCCCGAATCATCAATCGATGACTCTGTCCAATATGTTTCGATGTTCCCTCGTGGATTTCTTTCACAGTTGGCAGAAAAAGCTGTGATAATAGCGCCCTTGGACTGGATCGAGCCTTCATGAACGATATCCAATTATCCTGAGCATTATTATGAGAAATGAAATTGCATATAGGGAATCAATTACTTACAGTAGAACTGGAACATCTGAGCGATTCATGCGTATAATATCTTGAAATAGAACGCGAGCGGAATCGAGATGATCGAATTGTATTGCAAGTCGACATGACGTGAATATAACCCAAACACATGAAAATTGTACTAGTATACAATATCCTAGCGAAAATCAATTCACCCAATCACATTGACTAGTGAAATAAGTGATATAACGGCTGCGCCTTTTGTTGAAAGAGCGGGCTTATTTTTTCACTAGCAAAATATACTTTTGGCAAACCAATCCTTTCCCAAACGGCGATCTGCTATGTAAGTAATTCTAAAAATTTTATGTGGATGCCCTCATCACTATCAATACTAGTTGCAATCTTGGTTTGACGAAAAAAATCTTAATTATTTGCTTGTGGAGAACTAGAACTATTTTGAAAAGGAAAAAACCGGCTTTAAAGTCTTTTGCTCAATATGACTTTTTCACTGTTGTTACTAAGCAAGGATGGGTTTCTAGTGTAAAATGGCAATCCTATGTTCGCGTCAATTGAGACGGAAACGTCCGTATAATTAATAATCATCGATCCGGAACTTAGTATTAGTTTCTGCTCCTCAGACAAATACATGTATTTTATTAAATCCAATGTCGACTCTACTTTATAACGATCTCTAATACTCAAAGACCTCAAAATACAAAACAAAAATACATAAATTCAAAGAAAAACCGCCCCAGTCAATCTAGAGTAGGAAATTCGAACTGCAGGCATTTAATAATAAATTGTAATAATAGATAAGTGATCTATAAGATATAATTTATATGACAGTATTGTCGCATGATAATAGACTAAGTCCGTATTAAATATTATAATTAGGTTTTCTTGCCAAAGATCTTGCTGCCCTTCGAGACACTGTGGGAATATGTCAACATTGTCAAGTTAGTCAAGCCAGAAAAATGTCAAGAATGATAAATCAAACATATCCAATCTGATCGTTCAGCCTATACATTACCTAGCATTTCTGGATTGATTGTACAATTCTTGGAACTCGCGTTCTTCTGCTGCAAGAACTAGACGCTGCTCTTCCAACTCTGCCATTAGTTGTTGTCGACGCTGGTTGAGCTGTTCCTCTCTTTCTCTCAAACTAGCCTCCTTTTCTCTGACTTTCAATACAAAGTTCGCCCTCATCTCTTCTTCCTTCTTGCTCATATCCTCAGCCATATTCTCTTTGCTTCTTTCGATTCTGAATTCGTACGACTCATCACAAGCAAGAATTGACTCGGGACGCCCATTGGAGCGCAGTTTCTCGGCACGATAGTTGTGGTAATGGACTGTGTGACTTGTTTCAAGAAGGTCATGAAGTGCATGCGTCATGAGTAACTCGCGAAGGTGGACGAAATCGCAGTGGTTTTCGTTTTCAACTGTGCAGAGGAGGGGAGGGGAACGAATGTGAGTTATAGGCAGTGGGCTATATTGGAACGCTCATCAAATCGATGAATTCCACCGTGTCTACATGAATACACATATTCACCTTCAACGATACCCCATCGATAAACTCGGCCTCTAACTTGTTTACCGTCAACATCTACGAACTGATCGCTCCCAATTACTGTGAAAGGAATATATTTCTGATTACAAGAAAATCATTGGTTAATCACTAGTCCAAATAAGGTTTAAACCGGATATTTTAATTCAACGCTTGCCTCGAGTTCCTCAACACTTTCTCGATCGTCGGGATAAGCAGTCGGGAAGATCTTAATATTATTGGCGTCTATATCTCTTAATATCTACATAGATGGTAATGATTAGCAAACGACGCAGTAAGGTACGACGATAATGCATGTATTGAAATTATCTGCTAACCGTCTTTTTAAAAGCAGCCATCTCGTCTTGTGTTAGCGTGTCGGCCTTTGCGATTACAGGAATCACATTGACTTTGGCTGACAAGACCTGAAGGGCTTTAATGTCAAGTTCCTTCAAACTAGTAATAGGAATATAAGATCTTTTGTTAACGCCTCGCGCGCGAGTAGTATGGGATGAATAAATAATCGTTATGTTTTATACGTACGCATGACCAGTTGGGGCAATGAAATACAGTAATGCATGTATGCGTGTATCAGGAATGGCCCGGCGAAATCCTGGACTACGCTCTGCTGCATGATACGCTTCAAATTGATCATCGATATATTTGACAATAGGTGCAAGACTGAGTTATCGGTAAACGACGCTTGTTAGTAGAATTTCGCTGAAAATAACACAAACAATAGATTCTAATCACATACTTATGCTCACGGTTCAATTGATCGCCAAAACCAGGCGTATCAACGACGGTAAGATTGAGAGTAACCCCGTCTTCGACCAACTCTATAGAAATGTTCCGCGTAATCAGAACGTTGGACTTTTTTCTTTTGGAACAGATGAAATTTTAAGTTAATTCTAATGACAAACCATAATGCACAGGGTCAATTTCGACAGTTTTTGTGGCTTGTGGGTTCTTGGCTGGAATCTCTTCTTTCAAGGATGTATTGAATAATGTATTCATGAATGTGGTTTTACCCAAACCGCTCTCACCTGTTTTTTCGTTTCGAATGTAAAGAGCAATTGTCAACTCATTAAACGACGTGTAATCGTAAAACCCATGCGAAAGATGTGACTTACCAACAACCATAATATTTAAAACATATGGAGTGCGCTTTGTCTTGTAGAAACGTTGTCGCGGTAACGCTTCAATGCCGAGAGTGTCTCCGAGAGTAACTTTATGAGCTGGTGGGACTTTCCACGGCCCAGGATCAGGGAAGCGTCCTCTGCGAATAAGTAATATGCGTCATTGAGTTTAAATGTACCTCAGCATACAAAGGGACATGTCCCGCATCTGTCTATCGTTTGTGAGCATCTCGCAACACAAAAGCGATTTGCAACATCATAGATCATCTGGCGGCCAAGTTAATAGGATATGCTTACCTGTGTTGAAGAGCGTACTCCTACAACAAAGAAACAACGGTAACAGGTTAAAAAGGAAGCAAGTTTAAATAACAAATATATTCGTATGTGTCGTTCGGTACATACCAAAGGCATTTTGTTTTCTACGGATTATTGCAAAAAAGAATGATAGGTTTAAGGAAGCGTGGCGATGCAGAAAAGGTAGGGATTGAAGGTGAGTTGGACTATACGCTAATTATGCTGTTTCAGGGCCTGAATTGACCAAGCTGTGAACTTATTTCTCTCTTTCGCCAAAAAGAGTGAAGGCAAATACTACTTGACTAACAAATATTCGAGATATTGTAAAATTAACAAGCTACCAATGATTGGACACAAAAGTGTATCACTACATCAACTTATAGATACAGTTTGTTTATTTGTCCACGAATGAGGACACAGAAAGACGTCAGTATTCTTTTCTATCTAGCTTTGATCGTAATTCTCGCTTGACACCACGCTCTTTGGTATAGGGAACGAATTGCATATTCTGAGGAAGTGCCCCTTTGTTGGCTTCGAACCACTCGGCTGTTGGGTGGCCTTTTCGAGGATCGGGAGTTGAGGGCGTGAGAAAGAATTTAAGAGCGTCCGAGACAGTTTTAATGTTGTTCAGCTCGAGGTTGGGTACTTCTTTCCCTATTACAGACACACCGCCTTTCAGTATCTGAACCCAGTTATATTGCACATCAACTTAGTACTTAATTGGTGATTTGAATAAATTCGCTGTAATTGTTGTTACGTTACCTCAAATTTTAGTTTAGGGTCAGTTAATTCAACTTCCAACCATTTTGTTCCCACTTCAGGTAAGTGTCTCGTGACTACTGTTCGGAAGGCAGCTTCAATTTGCTTGTAAGCGGTAATCGGGGTCGGAGGCATCTTTTTTTTTTTTTTTTTTGATGGCAAATATTTTATCGTTGGGGGGGGGGGGTTCATAAATATATATATTCATATCCCTCATACAGTTTATTGTTAAGTTACACGAATTTCTACACGATATACCAAACTTGGAAAAGATAAATCCCACAGTCATAGCTATGAAAATCAGTAATTTTACCAAAAATATAGCCATATTCTGATTGGCTGTTGTTTTTGATTCATTATTATTACCATCGCGGTAACGTAAATGAGTTTATAATAATAACAACTGAGAAGCCCATATACAACATTAATTGGGAAATTACTCATGACTACTACGCATGCATGCAAAGACTGTTTCGTTCATAGGGGTCTAGAGTATTAACACTTAAAAGTAACAACTACTTTCTGGCAAACAAATACAGTCAAAGCTCGGAGAACCGATAGCGCTGTTTTCGCCTTTTTTAGGAGTATGATTGTCCAATTACGAATGTTCAAGACTTTTCGCCGCATAATTAAAACGTTTTGTCCGTGTACCCGCAGCCCTTGAGTTTGGAGGTGTTTTAGCCACAATGTCAGCGTTCAAACGACAATACCTGAACAAGGTCAATAAGATTATGACTTCAAAGCTAAAGAGTTATTATGTTGCACTGGTGAACAAAGCATAGAGTGTCGTGTGTTTTTTTTGTTTCAGAAAGTATCTTACCTTCGAAGGAAGAGTTTCATTAACACTAACTAATTCTGTCGCCGAAGACATAAATAACAAGCACGGAAAATTTTTGACGTGTTAATATTAATATGAATCTAATTTGTTTAAATGCAGAGAATTTGTAGCTGTAGAATACACTCTTATGAGTCTATAGCTTCATAACTGGTGTCTTAGCAGGTTTTGGAATAACCGGCGGTAGTTTTTGAACAGTCTAATCTAGAAGAAAACTTAAACGACAACGAAATAAATTTAGAAAGTGAAAACTCTCTCAATAGGCAAAGTAGTAGTTTCTTCTCAATTCACGTTTTAGAATTACATTTCGTTACACACCGACTGCTAAATGAGTTCGAAATTAGAAGTAAAAACCCTACTTTTATGTGAAAAGCACTGCCAATCACGTTATCGCCAGAACAATTTTATTGAACAACTAACTAAATAGGATGATTCAGGTCTTTCAAATACAGAAAAAGTAGAGAAATAACTTACTGATCTCCCTAAAGAATGTTTAGAATTTTAGTCCTGTCTTCTTACCGAGATCCATCGGCAGCGAAAACTCTCTTTATTCAGACTTTTCTATTTGCTTTTTTCCCGATTTTGAAGCTCAAGTATATTACTGGATCCAGTGCATGAAAATGCCTGTGAAAAAAATTGACGATTTGGAGAACTATAATATACAATAGACAATTACTATCAGAAAATGAAGTACCACGAAGACAGTTGTTAAATGACCAACAAGATCATGTTAATAGTTAAGTGCGTAATGGAGATTGCAAAAGTGGAATGAGGTAATGTATACAACAATATAACAAGTTTAATCGAAAACCAAGAATGATTTGATTTGAGTAGCCATACACTATTTCTGAAGGTTCTTCCATTGAACTTTATTTTCGAATGGCACAGGATTAAATAGATTTCATATTTATATTTAGGTTAATATTAACGTGCAAAAAAAAACGACAATTTTTCAAATAGTTCTGGTTTCACAACATCAATTAAATTGTACTGCACATCTAAATAGCATTAGATTTCATTAAATAAGTTAATATGATATTCGTTCACTGTTTTTCTTAGTAATCTCGTCACAACGCCGTGGCATCGATTCTACAAGACTGCTTCACTCATAAAACGTTCTAATTCGTTAAGATTTTTGGGCTTACGCATTTCTACATTCGCTTTTAACAATCGCCCAAAGGCTTTCAATAGGATTTAGGTCTAAACTATTAGAAGGCCAGTCCATAACCTCTGGCAGGTTGTCTTTAAGGAATTCTTGAGCAATGCGACTAGTATGTTTCGGATCATTATCTTGCTGTAATCGCCAATTGCCCTTTAACATGTTTTTTATATGCTGTTCCACTATTTCCGTGTAATGTTTCCGTCCGTTATGTGACAAAAACAAGCAAGACTAGTTTTACCTTTTACACAGAAACCACCCCACGCGAATATTTTACGTCGATCTTTTGGCATAGGGCGGATTGGCCTCGCATTTTTATACCAATGCTTTATCGTGTTACGAAACAATCGAATGCTGTTTCGTCACTAATTAATGTCGTCATTTTTATGGGCCGGTGTAAGCATTGGATGTGGGCAAGGGGAAGAGCATTCCGGTAACCAAGGTCATTCAAATGCCTTGATGCTGTTGAGCGGGAGACGTCTATTCCAATATCGTCCAATTTTTCAGCAATAGATTTAGCAGAAATTGAGGGATTCCTTCGAATACTGGCCGATTGCACGAGAAGCATTAGTCGTTATTTTCTTAATACGAACCTTTATGCCCACATCACCTGTTTCTTTGATCTTTTTTAGGTTTCGATAGATTGTTTGGACGGTATCTTTGTTAATGATTGAATTTCAGTAGCCACTTGTATCCCTTGCCGCCAGAAATGTAATATAGCTTCAAGTTGACTTCGCGTGAAATAAAAATTTAAGAAAACTTAAGTTTGGGGTAATCGAATAGCTTTCATTTGCATATTTAATCATGTGCTTGTGGCTGAAATTGATCAAGTTACACCAATTAAAAAAAATTGGTTTTTTTTTGCACACCACTGTATGAAATTTACAAGCTATTATTAACTTTCATACTGGGATTTGTTTTAATAGGTCTTCATTAAGACTTGCTGCTAGACGAATATTCGCAGTGATTTGGTCTGCTCGACGACATCTCATTTACCAGTTAATCGAAATTAACATTAATGATGAAGATCAAAGATTACGATTAAGACCTGAAGTTTACAAGTTGATTCAAGAAAGAATTGTAACTTCACATTCTAAACTTCTGAATCAACATCAAGGCCATAACGCAATATTGGAAGAAATTAACAAAACGCTCAGATCTTAGTTCTTGCTATATCTTCACAACGGCACTTGGAGATTAAGATTGCAGCATGTACAGTGTAACGAAAAAACTGCCTTTCAAATATTGAACATACTGTATTTTGTCATTAAACAAAGGTATGTATTACTGATAACAAACGCGCCTTTATTTTCAATTAATCCCATTTTAGTAAACGTCTTTATTGGCTTGATGGCGTCCAATCCCCAAACGAAAAACCAATATTCTTATCACATTGAAAACATGTGATATATTGTCAAGAATAACGTTGAAACACGGATGCTAAGAAATGTTGACGAATTAAAACAATTTATGACCGAAGAATGGGATGCGATTCCAGAAACGACTGGGCAAAATTTAATTTCATCGATGAAAAAGAGGTGAGCTTGTTTTGCAGAAAAATGGCGATAGAATTTTGTATTGAAAATTATGTGTAATAACAATAAAGCACATTACAAGTTTCTAAAAAAAATAGGAATTATTTAAAATTTTTGCATGGTTATTATATATTTGATGAAAGCGGGTTTTCATTACACACTGTAATTTATACAAAGTTTTTGTAATTCTTTAATATAATAAATGAAAGTGAAATGCACGGGACCTCGTACACGTCCTAGCTTTACTGCTGGATCACGTCGAATAAGACAGGCGGAATTTGTAAACCCAAACGTTAATAGCCGTGTTTTTCAAGACATAAACGGAGAATGGATGCTAAGTGAAGAAATGAAAAGATTTGGTGAAATTGCCCATATGAAAGAATAGACTTTATTAAAGCAAAGCTAAGAAACATCACTAGGTGTTTGGCAACCGATTTCAATAACACATGAAGAAGCAAATCATCAGAAGGCTGAAAGTTCATCGATGAAATCACAGACATTATCCATAATCAACTCCTTAAACCCTTTTTATTTTTTAGGTAAATCAGAATGGTCAGTTTATCAAGTATACCTGCAATAACTTAGTGAAAAAAATATAATATCTGAAAATAGTATTAATGTTCATAACAATTAAATGGTCATAATGTTCTACATTTGAATGTGACTGTATTACCATAAGTAATAATATAGTATAAATTACCTGACCGGAGTGTTCACACGTTTGCAGAATTTGTTCTGTGTATACGCCACCTTTTTTCTTGACATATACTCTTTGAATAAAAATTAGAAATTAATACTATAATAATTACACATTATTTGGTGTATTATATTAATTTATTTATATTCGAATTACGCAAGTAGCGGTATTGTATCTCGATACGACGTAATCGAAAACCGCAAAGTTGTACTTCAGTTGGGGACCTGTCTTAGTTCTGGATTGAGACAACTGAACTCAAATACAGCAGACACAATTGTATGGTAATCGTTAATAATAAAATAATCTCGATGTGGAGCCACAATTAGTAATAATGAATTAAATTATTAAACAATAATAATAATTTCAATAATCTCAATGGAAGCTACAACTACATAATAATAGTGAATGTTATTAATAAGCGACGTTGTCTGGTAATGGCTAAAAAGCGACAGCGTAACTTTGATATACTGTAAACTGACGCAATGAAATCTGCCATAATTAGTAGGATAGACATCTTTTATATCGAAAAACGCCAAATGGTGTGATAAAAGTTGGAGTTATAGCATCACCAGATGAAAATTATTTAATCTTTTGAATGTGACTAATATACGATTATCTGGTAAAATTTAGTAAGCATCTTACAACTTTGGCAAACGGTATTAAAGTCTAGTTTATATAAATTTTGTTATATTACTACCTAACGCACTACAATTTTTTGTAAATATTTTGTGCAATAGATGCGCTAGTTTCAGTTATTAAATTGCATCGGAAGGGATCGCACTTGAATGTCAGCTAAATCTGTGTCAATAAAAGATGTTAGAAAACAGTATTAGGCTTAATTGTTAGGCTGATAAAGTTTCCGCGTATGATGAGCCAGAAACTCAGAAACGTCACGCGTGCAAGAAAAAATTAGTATTCGACTATGTACAGTACATAATACTGAATAATAAAAAAAACGTCACTTTATATTGCAATCTCTCTCACCATTTTATTATCAATGATATACACTAAAATAATATACATGATAAAAAATAAACATCGTTTTTATCGCGTGATTCATCATTATTATTAATGGTACACGTTGAAATAATAGATAGCGCTTTGCGTAAACAAAATTCCAACTGCTATAAAAGAAATTGCGGTAAGTGGCAACGTCCAAATTAAGCCTCCCGCTACAACGAGACCTTTCAGATCATGTTAGCTTGTTCTTTTCATGTTGGTCGTAATCGAATTTGAACTCTGGTGGATCCATCTTTATCTCCATCAGTTTGAATATCTCCTTCTATAATAATATACTACATTAACTGAATAGCCAATAGATCTAATATACTGTACATTACTCTAAGACTGATCCTATATTCACCACAAAACCCTATGGTAATGTTCTGCTTCGTAGCCCGGATTCCGGCCCAGTTCGAAATCAGCACATTTTATTTCGCTATTATCACATAAACAATGTTAATTCGATATTAAATAATGTGCCCATTGCGAAACGGGCTGGATTGCGCTACGGGCCAGAAAGTAAGCCTCCCTGCCACCGCAATTCCTATCCCGGTAATTGTTGGAACGGTTATAAATAACACACGTTGAATATCAAACAAGCTTTCTTCGATTGCTAGTGTACATATGACCACGATTTGGATCCCGAAAAGAATACAGAATTGTAAAAGAACAATGTCTTGTTCGGGCTTGTAATTTGATAAAGTCTTGATCGCTGTCTAGTCTTTGGAAATGGCTCCAGACATACGACCCCATTATATTTACATTAAATGTCTCTTTCAATTCAAATCTTCCGGGTCCGGTTCATTTCACCGACGAAAAGAATAACTTCGAAATAATGTTGGGGAACTTTTGTCGGTGAAATACCAATTCATAGTATGCTCTGCTTGCTTTTTGGAAGTGTACTAGAGGCTGCCCTTTTTCAGCTTTGGGCCACGTAACTGTAGGTCATTATCTAAGAAGCTGACCACGCAATGCCCGGCTTTAAAGCGATTCTTGTTGATAGATTCATGTTGGGATGATGGGGAAGATTGAGATGGTGCCGCTATTGAAATGATAATCAATTGAGCGAGCCACTGTTACAGTTATAACGAGTTTCAGCGAAAGCTTAATGGCAAACATGCTGATTTCTTCTTTTCTTCCGCAATCGCATGCTTTTTCCTCGGTTATCACATGTATTAATTACATTTGGTCTTGGACCTCACTCGTACCGTTCAAAACTTGAGGATCAGTAGAGACACCATGGTCATCAAACGTATAAATATGCATATCCATTTTTACGGGATAATATGAGAGTAAGCGGTCTTTTTTTTTTTTGACGATATATCCGATGTGTATATATACACGCGACCGACTTGTCTCGTGACTAAGTTCACATCATATAAGGGGCGATAAAAGGAACGTTACATCATATTACTGTATTGCATCCAACTCAAATTAATAGTTCGATAACAATAATGTCCATATAATATGCTATGCGAGGAGTACTATCAGCTGATTTTATGCACGGGTAATGTCGCTGGTGATACAACTGCAAGCCTTACAGTACAGTAAACATGAAATAGAATAAGTAAAAATTGAGTTTATGCTCCGGGTTTGCTCCTACAACCGAATATCTCAATCTAGCTACAGTGGCATGAATGGTATCATGTTTTTAATTTGAACATTATATGGAAGATGTAATTGCCGCAGGAATAACTTATAATTATGACACGCAGTATATATGTTGTACCTCAGTTGGGAACCTGTCTCAGTTCTGAACTGAGACAACTGAGTTCTGGACTGAGTGTCTGGGTTCTGGACTGAGACAACTGAGTTCTGGACTGAGTGACTGGGTTCTGAACT